TGATGAGAAATTGACATTTTCTGGCGGAGCCTGGCGAGGACTATGTGGGGAGATAAGACTTATAGTTGTTTTAAAGGAGTGCAGCCATTCTTTCAGAGGCCTCTTTATTGCTCTAGTTGACCCACTTGATGAGTATGGATTTCATGAGGTCTTTTTCAGCATTTGAACTATAAAAGGTTCAGAATGACACCACCCCTTATAGACAAAAGATAACCTTGCCCTTTGAATATATTGATTCTTTATTAACTAGGCTGTTTAATGCAATGAAATGAGGCATTAGATTGAAGCCTATTTCAAGTGCTTTGAATAATCTTTAAAAGCTTGAAAGACTTAAAAGCTGCTCTGCAATAATTGGCATGTACTTTTAGAGACACTTATTCCTTCGTTTTGATTAAGGAATTTTTATCATCTTCCTGTGTCTAAACTCACTGTGGGCTGACACAACATATTTCCTCAGCAGGGCTCTTACCCAGATGTGTCGTAGGTGGTGGATTGCTCTAGGAATTGTCATATGTGGGTTTTCTCCTTTTGTATTTTCCTTGCATTGAAAGTTAGAGGAACCATTTAGATGCTCATTATTCAAACCTTTGAAATAAAACTAAAAGGAAAAGTGCCAGTAGGCATCGTGCAGACTTTCATCCCTAAAAACCAGCTTATTTTTTAACGGGATGCATCTGATTATGCTGCCTTTAAACACGATACACAGACACACACTTGGAGTGGAACAGTTTTCAATGCATAATAATAATAAAAATAATAATAATAATTACAATAATACAAAGTGTTCCGCAGCTCTAACACCTTTTTTTCATCAAATCAGTTTTCATCTGACATGAAAACCATGGAAATACTGGAGAAGAAAGGAAGCATGGTTAAAAATCCTGGTTTTCCTGTAGGTTGTGACTGCAGTGAGTTTTGCCTTCTCCCTACTCCATCCCTGAACCACGGGCAGCCGAGGAGGGGCTGGGACACACAGCATGTCCTTTGGCACTGGATCCACACGCACCACTCCATCCCTTCACTTGGGAGCTCCGAGTGTCTCGGTGCCCTCTCAAAGTTGTCAGCAGCCCTCTGATTAATGACCGGATCAAACTCCAGAACAAACTCCCCGTTTCACCACCACAGCCACTGACATTCCTCTGCCAGACCCATATTCCTGTGGAAACACCCTTTTTTTGGTCGTGCTGGTCACACACAAGGATACAGGAGCACATTTGGTGTCTGGGACGGGGAACTCAGACCTGCACATCAGGCAAGGCTTTGCAACTCTCTCCAGCTCCGAGGTTGCACGTGCCCACCTCATTATAAATATAGTTTTGCACCCATTATATGTGCATTGCACATATTATGGCCCAGAGGATGAAATATTTGTGCTCAGTATTATAATTAGCAAAAGAATTTGCTTCCCTCTCAGTAGTTAAGAAACGAGCACATCGACCTTCAGTGTCAAACCACCACATGGAAAATTTGGGTTGTGCTTTGTTTAAAATAACTTTTCCTGTTTACAGACTTTTACAATATGATATTAAAATAGTAAAAGAAAAAAAATCTATTGTTACCTTTGCTTTACAAAAAGCCTGTCTGAAGTGCACCGTTTTGGTTAAATAAGAAAAAGAGATATTATGCAGTTATCTTCACTAAAAGTGAGCAGTTTTGGATAAATACTTCACCGAGGCTGAGCAACAAGTAATTGCCACTGCAGAGCAGAGATCTCCTCCCTCATCCTCCTCCCAGGGAACTGGAAAGACCATGTCAAGGGTTTGGGCTTTTTCATAACAAAGGAATAAAAATTCTGATATTTAGAAATAAAACCCCCAGTGTTGCACTATTTCATTTAGTGTTTAGTCACTTTTTTTAATAATCAAACCAGATAAAATTACTAAAAATGAAATTCACAGACAAGAAATACTTTAATTAAATATTGTGTAAAATGAACATTTTTTTATACAGTTAAATATATGAAAAAATGTACAGATAAAACAATCTTATTGTAGGGTCTTTAACAGTAAAATCTACCATTTAGTGAAGCTTTCCGTCTGGAGACAATGAAGCCATGAGTGCATTGACTAATTAATCTAAAACACAAACAGATTGCAGTTATGAAGGAACTTGCAGACTTTCTTAACATGTACAGGTGACCTCTTTTTTAATTATTTTTTTAGAGCAAAACCTTACTTAGACAAAATATAACGGAGGCAATTCAGTTCCAAAGTGACTTCTCAGGCTTTCCCACCTAGCCAAGCCTTGGCCGTGCTCACAGAGCTGTGCTACGCTGAACCCTTCTTCTAAACCTTTCAGAAAAGCTTGAATAAAATGTGCATTATTTTTTTTGCCCAAAAAGAAAAAAAAAATACAAGAATAATAATAATTAAAAAAATAATAATAATTAACAAAATGATCCCTCCTTTTTTGGTTAAAAGGTGAATTCTGCTGCAGTTTGCAACGTGCTTTGCAGTGCTGCGCTGGCAAAGGATTTAGTGCAAAGTAAAAATAAAAACAACTCCACGTTTCTCTGGCTGGATTTGGCACTGAGAGCCACGGAATACAACGGAGGTCATTCCAGTTTAAAAAGTACCGTCGGCTACGGGTTGATTACAAAAAGTTCCCTAAAAAAAAGCCCCAAGAAACCTAAATAAACAACCCCCAGACATTAAAAATTCGGTGTGATCCTGATTTCCCGTGAAACCTTCCCCGGTTTTGAGCAGAGCAGGGTTTGGGAGAATGGCCCAAAAAGAAAAAAAAATACAAGAATAATAATAATAATTTTAAAAATAATAATAATTAACAAAATGATCCCTCCTTTTTTGGTTAAAAGGTGAATTCTGCTGCAGTTTGCAACGTGCTTTGCAGTGCTGCGCTGGCAAAGGATTTAGTGCAAAGTAAAAATAAAAACAACTCCACGTTTCTCTGGCTGGATTTGGCACTGAGAGCCACGGAATACAACGGAGGTCATTCCAGTTTAAAAAGTACCGTCGGCTACGGGTTGATTACAAAAAGTTCCCTAAAAAAAAGCCCCAAGAAACCTAAATAAACAACCCCCAGACATTAAAAATTCGGTGTGATCCTGATTTCCCGTGAAACCTTCCCCGGTTTTGAGCAGAGCAGGGTTTGGGAGAATGCAGAGTGCAGCAGAAAATCGACACATAAAGGAGTGGCAGAATTGTACACCAGGATTGTGCTTTTTTTTTTTTTTCCCCTTATTTTTTTACACCAGAAATCATCCAAATGAAGTCGTGATTAACAATTGTGGTGTAAGCCTGTGATAAAACAGCACAAAAGTTCTTCAAAGAAGTTCACTTTTAAGGCATCAGAGAAGTTCATGTGGCAAACATTTTAATTAAAACATCAGAAGTGAATTTATTTTTAAACTTTAGGCCTCTGAATTTTTCCAGTAAACACAGTTCAGCTATGTGGCAAAGTCATGGGTGGCAGCTAAAAATGACTTTTTACAATCTTAAAAAAAAAAAAAATTAAAATAAAATTTAAAAATAAAGAAAACAGACAAACGAACAAAAAAAAAAGAAAATAAAAAATGCAACCACAAAATAGATTCATCTTTTCTGTGGCTGTATCACATGCACATATTCTACTAGTATTCATTACAGCCATGTGGCACAATTTTGATTTGACTATACAACAAACGACTTTTTCTTTCAAAATTATTTGTTCTGATAACTTAAAAATAATACAAAAATAAACAATGAATTTGAATTTTTGAAAAAAAAAAATTAAAAAAGGAAGGATAGAAAGGCTAAACAATAGCAACATTATGAAATACAAATGAAATGCACAGACACTGATTTATTTAAAAGAAAAACATGAAGGCAACTGTTCTTGGCTTAATGCTATTTTCAGCATCACGATACCAGGCCAGGACAAAAACCAATACATACAAGAACATAAAAAAAATGATGAAAAGCAATATACAAAATTTCAAAGATAAATACAATATTTATAGTTGATATGTTACAAAATAAATTCCCTTAGTGACTGCAAGTGTTTATGTGAAAGAAAGTGTTGCAATGGATAAGACTATTTTATTCCTTATAGCCATCATAAGGAATAAAATCTGCTTTTTTTTGTCTAAATATTAAGTGGATCTGAAAAAAATTCAAGACAAGTGTATAAATATTTAGCTACAACTTTGGCAAAATCACAAAAGTCTACAATTTTATAACCACATACAAAACACATTAGGGAAGAAGGATCTAGAAGTCAAAAGGACAATTTTCTGGTACAAGAAACATAGACTTCACAGTAGCCTAAAATGCAATAGTATACAGTGCTAGCAAAAGTTGAAAAAATGTTGCAGATCACACTTGCTTAACAGGAAGCTCTAGCAGTGGAAGTATATTTTTTTCATTTTTTTAAACCAACAGACAGTAGCAATTTCTTTTTTTTTTTTTTCTCTGTCAGTGTGCTTGTTGAAGGCAAGAGAATTCAATATCAAAGTTACAATTTCTAACTACAATAAGTTACAAAGTTCCATTTCATTAAGATGAAGTTAAGCAACGATAAACCCCCCCGCGCCCGCCCCCGCGCCCCGGTTTTTTGTGTGGTTTTTTTCCTAATCATATATTCATCCTTTTTTTTATTCTTTTTTTTTTTCCAGTTTGATGGCTCATAACCTCCTTGGCCCCCTTTTTTTTTCCACCACAAAAAAATATTTCACATTATAGAGATACACAACCATTGTGAATCTAGTTATGAGTACAGAAAAATGTTCGGAGGCATTTTTCATCAGTGTTTCATGATAATCAAAATGGTGCATCCACAAAGTTTCTCCCAACACATAGCAAGTACTAGACATAGCCAAGACGTAATCAGAAACTTTATACAAAATAGGCGTCGCTTTTTCCTTATTCTCCAGGACTGAGAAATGTGAAAATATGAGAAAAATTCAGTCAATAAAATGGAATTGTTCATGAAGAAGTAGGTTGTTTTGCATGTAGATTCTTAATAGTTTAAATAAAATCTTTAAACAAAGTCTTTTTTTTTCCTTTTTTTTGTGGGTTTTTTTGTTGTGGGTTTTTTTATTTTTTCCTGTAGCATTTCGATTTTGTTGCTGATTCTGCGTGAAGATACTGCTTCCATCAGCATGTCTTAATATACTAAACTTGTCCCCTAAGCCCATCCTCTGCAGCTTGGTGCTACGGTAGGTAAACAAAAGTGACTTTACATTGGCGGGACTACAAGCCCGGACATGGCTAAAAGAAAAAAGAGAAGAAAAAGAGCTGTTATTGGCACGCTGGGCTCAGAGCCACCACGGGATGGGGCGGGAGGAAGCAGAGCCCGGCTCCTCCACAGCATCCCCAGAGCAAGGACCACGGACACTCCTCCCAGCAAAACACACCCCACACAGCCTCTCCTTGAGAAAGGAGCATCTCCACTTCCCCAGGCTCAATTCTCTCCAGGCTCCTGACAACTCCTCCGGCTGTACCCCCATCCCCTGGGGACATCCCCAACAATCACCTCTTCGTACTCTGGGCAGAAAACCTCATTTTCCATTATTCTATTTCATGATAAAAGCGTAACTGAGTAAGCCAAGGACACTCCAAGACCAAAACCAAGAACTCTAAACCTTCTCCCAACCCTAGAGCTCAAGCACCATAAAAATACATTATATTAATACCCCTGACCAGCCATATCCTGGGGTTTCTTAACAGATAAAGACTGAGATGCCAGCAACCACTGTTTTTTCCTAGTTAACTCTTTGGTAGAAGCACAATTTAGACAGTCTTTAATTTTAGTGTTGTTTAATTTTTGCCATAATGATATTTCTCATTAATTTATGTACAACAGATATTAATAAATTTGTTCGTGTAGCGATGTGAACTTCAATTTCTCAGTTCATTAATTTCAACAATATTAATTTATTTCAGATTCGCCTTTGCAGCTTTACGGTTTGGAAGAGCTGGGTCTGTACACATTTCACAGGTAACACAACCACAACCAGCATTGCTCCAACAGCTGCACCCAGAGCCTGGAGCAGCCCCTGGTCCTGCCAGAGCCTTCTGTGGATTTGGGTGGAGTTAAACCTCTCTAAAATACAGATTAGGTGATGTTCGTGAACAGGATAAAGTATTCCAACTCTGACATTTTTCTCCCCAATAAATGTGTCAAAAATGTCAAAATCCAAACTGAAGTTATAATTTTGCACTATTCTTCATAATGAATGTTTTCAACCTAACCAGCAAGTTACAAAATTTAACTGGAGAACAGTGGTTATATTGGCAGAGAGCCTTTCTACCCAAAATATTCCGTTTCCTTATCATGTTTTCAGAGAATCACAAAATCATTCAGATTGGAAAAGTTCTCCAAGATCACCAAGTCCAATCTGTCCCCAATCCCAAACTTGTACTCCAGCTCACAGCACTGAATGCCACCCCCAGGAATTCCTTGGACTCCTGCAGGGAACTCCAAACCTCCCTGGGCAGCCCCTGCCAAGGCCTGACCACTCTCAAAAAACCCTTAAAAACAACCCTTCACTGAATCTCCTCTGTTCTACCATGCACCAGCCCAGGCCAGCTGATGACCTCGCCCTGTGTTTGGACCCTGCTCTCAGTTTGGCTTTTCCTGTGGGATTCAGCACCAAATCTGCCACCATGCCACTCTGCTTATCTGTCAGGTTGGAAAAGTTCTCCAAGGTCACCAAGTCCAATCTGTCCCCAATCCCAAACTTGTACTCCAGCTCACAGCACTGAATGCCACCCCCAGGAATTCCTTGGACTCCTCCAGGGAACTCCAAACCTCCCTGGGCAGCCCCTGCCAAGGTCTGACCACTCTCCAAAAACCCTTAAAAACAACTCTTAACTGAATCTCCTCTGTTCTACCATGCACCAGCCCAGGCCAGCTGATGACCTCGCCCTGTGTTTGGACCCTGCTCTCAGTTTGGCTTTTCCTGTGGGATTCAGCACCAAATCTGCCACCATGCCACTCTGCTTATCTGGGGTGCACCTGGCCTGGGGGGTGCAGGAGATCATTTTAAGGAACAGCTGTCATGGAATCACAGAATCATTAAGGAAAAGACCTTTAAGGTCGAGTCCAACATCAAGCAGCACTGTTGAGGTTCACCACTAAACCATGTCCTCAAATGCCTCGTGCTGCAATTCAGCCATCAGGTGCTCCACCCCTGGCAGGGTCCAAGGCCAGGCTGGACAAAGTTTGGAGCAGTTTAGGATAATGGAAGATGTCCCTGCCCATGGCAGAAGGTGGGACAGGATAGGTTTTAAGGTGCCTTCCAACCCAAACCATGCTATGACTCTGCTGTGTGAAAATTTAGATTATCTGCTGCCATATTTTTCTGGAGGAAAGAAAAAATATCTCAGTTCTCTAATTTAACCATTTTTGTTGAACTCTCTCTTTGGCACAATCTGAGAGGGGATGCAAGGTTGGTGCTCCAGATATGTGTTTCACAATTTATTTTAGTAGCAATCTTTGACAATTGTGAATTTCTGCACTGAGCTTCCTGCTGTGCAAATTGATACCAAACGCCTTCTTAAAGAAAAATGAGCTGGTGAGTTTTTTAATAATAATTTTAATACTTTCATCTGGAGGAAGACCAGAAAATTAAGCAGGATGCAATTTTAAAAGAATATAGAGAGTCTTTTGCTGTGCATTATAGTCCTATAACCAGAGAGCAATATCTTTCACAATCTATAGAAAGCAAATTACGATTGAAAACCAAATTTTGAACACATATTGTGCTTCCAACTTTGCAGCGAGCCAGTAGTCTCTCACTAAAAATTTCTTTTCTAGCTTTAATGTTCATTGTTTTAAACAGGAAAAGACTCTCTGCCCTAAGGAACACACATGGTAGGACCCTGCTCTTAAAAAATTCGTGTGAGTACTTGACTTTCTGGTCATAGACTATGGAGGTCATGCAGAGTCAACAAGATTGTGGCTTTTTGGATACAGCCCAAAAGCCCTTTTCTGTAGGCTTACTCACAGGAGTGAGTCAGGCCCTGGGGACAGCAGGGAGAGAGTTCTCCTCCAAGAGCTGCAGCTTCTGAGTGCTGGCCCTCCTTAGGCTGACAATGGCCATGCAGCTGGCATGGGTGCAGCAAGGGGGAGGAGAAAACATCAGCCCTGGCTGGCATTGCCCCCAGCCTGACCGCTCTGAGCTCTCCTAGATTGTCTTTTTCACTCTTAACCTCTGTCTTCATCATTGAATCATCAAATCCCAGACTGGTTGGGGTTGGAAGGGATCTTAAGGACCACCTCGCTCCAAACCCCTGCCATGAGCAGGGACACCTTCCACTGGAAGGTGTCTTGGATCTCTTTACCAAAAAAGAGTCACCTGCAGATGTCTCCATGCTCACTCTTGGGTCCTGCAGCACAGAGAGGGGTTTGGGGTTGTGCTCACAGGCAGCAAGATCTTGCTTCTGGTGTGGTGGGCTCAGGTGGTCCTGATGCTCAGGGTTGCATCAGCACAAGCCAGAAATCAGAGCAGCTCAACTCCTGTTTGACTCTTTCTCTTTGTTAGGGGACAAAACAATGTCCAGAGGTCCAGCTGGAACTGCTTAGTTCTGCTGTTCTCACCAACTTAGATGTACCACAAGCAGCATTTTTTCCCACACGGAGATACCCTACAGTGGTTTATCCACCAGGGAGGGGTCAATTAACCCCAAAATCCCTGCAAAATTCTTCACCCCTGTCTGAATTCTTATCCATTCTTATCCAAGGCTCTGCTTATCCATAAACTGCAGGATTTGCCTCTTATGCACCACCAGTGACCATGAGCTCTCACTGCCCTCTTGGCTTGCCTGAATGTGACCATTCCTAACAGTGACATCTCCTCAGCTGTGGCTCAGCTCCTTCACACCCTGCCCTAAAATGAGACTCTGTACTTGAAAATCACCAAAAACACTTCAGCTGCGTTGGACTGCAGCTCTCAAATTCCATATTTTAACTTAATGTAGAAAATGTGCTGATCAGAAAGCTCTCAAGGTGATTGTACAGAGTCCAGAAAGCAACTAATTAAACTTTAAAAAGGGTTCCCAGACAACAAATGACTGAGAAAATAGGAAGGAAGAAGCAGAAACTCCCTAATGAACTCTATGTATCAAATGCAGTGTAGATAAGTACCAACACAGGAGTGTTGGTGGTTTTTCTTGACGAAATCTCATGAAGGAAGGAGCTGACAAACTCATCCCTGTCCTGCCCCTCGGCCCTGGCTGAGATCTGTGAGGATGAATGGGTGAACCTGAGGGCTTTTGTGAGCTCAGTCTGAACTGACTCAAGGAATCAAAGTGGAAAAGGGGATGGTGCCTCTGCTGGGATGGTGAAGGAGCTCACAGAGAGCTCCTGGGTGGGGGAGATGACATGGTGCTGAGGCCCTGGCACAGGGAAAGCTGTGACTGCCCCATCCCTGGAAGTGTCCAAGGCCAGGCTGGACTGGCCTTGGAGCAGCCTGGGACAGTGGAAGGTGTCCCTGCCCAAAGTTGGAACTAGATGGTCTTTAAGGTCGCTTCCAACCTAAACCATTCCAGAATTCTGTGATTCCATGTCAGTTCCCTAACTCCCACAACACTGAGCATCACTCTGTGGTGCTGTCTACTTTGCATAAATCATGCACATATTTTTGCCACAACCCTGGAAGTCACTGCTCTAATTACCAGGCTAGAAGGACATTCTGCCTGTTTCTCTGGGTCGTTCTGCTCAACACTAAATGACTCAGGTTCAGCTGACAGAGGAAAATTGACAATTTTTATTTAATTAATTATTGATTTATCTATGTATTATCTGTTTATTTTCAACGCTTGATTTTCAGTTCAGCTGCTGATCCAAAACTCAAAAGGATGATCCCAAAAGGATGCTGCATGGATTGCAGCATCCAAAAATCAGGGGTTGAAGGCATGGATCGGTCTTCACTGGGCTCTCTGAGCATGAAAAAAGCTTAGTGCAAGGTGAGGTTTGGCTCAGTTTGAGAACTGAATTCATGACCTATTTAACAAATCAGTGTTGGCTGATTCCAAGTCGTCTTCTGAGCTTTATACAAAAAGCATTTTGTACCTGAGGATGGAGACGTGAAGTTACTGGGGGCTTGGGGAGCTGCTAAGGGATGTTGGGTGCTTAGTGCATTCAGCCCTCCCAGTTCTCCTTAAAACCCTATTTTGAGATAATCTCGAGATTATAAGTACCTAAAACCTTGAGTATAGGACAGGAAGACCCTTACTCACATACTGAAATGGCAAAAGTCTGGATCATTTGAATTTAGATATTTAAATAATTGTGTCTATCAGAGTAAATCAAAATCAATTAGTTGATCTTCCTTCCTCAGATCTAAGCCATGTGTTACCACATTTATTTTTTTTTATTTTTGTCTATTTTGTATTATTTATTTTATTATCTCATTTTTCCTTTTTTTTTCCATTATTTTCTTTCAGTATTTACTTTTCATAGCAGTGTCTTCTTGCAAAAAGAGGAAAGTAGGACACTGGATTATTTTATGAATGGATTATCTTTTCTAAGAATATGGATATAGTTTTCTACTTACAGTAGTAACACAGTGAAGCTTCCACTAAAGAAATAACGCGAAAAACTGTCAATTTAATTATCCTTTCCTTTAGTATCATGCTACAATTAGTTTGTGTATCTGGAGTCTTGGCTCTTTGTTGGCCTGAGTGCATAACAAGGTTTCAGATTTTTTTTGGGCCAAGTTAAGAGCAAGCTACAGGAAGATTCATTTTGAAATCCTGGAGTGGATTTGGGATAGACAGGCAGCTCTGTGGGGTTGGGATGATGTGTCTCCAAAGTGCCTTCAGCACCCCACAAAATGCTGGTGTCCAGAATTGGTTTGGCAAATTAAAATCCCCCTCATCTGTTTGCCTGTGAGTGCTGGTTGGATTATGGGTGTCATGGTGATACAAAGGATAAATAACTCTGTGCTGCTGCTGCTGCTTGACTGAGGAAGTCAAGAGGAGTGATGACCTCGGGGATGAGACTGTCCTCAACCCTTCCTGGTTTCAATGGGATCTGAAGTGCCTCAATTTACTGCACTGTGCACTGAGACTCCAGCAGAGGCACACAAACCTTCCCAGGGATTCTAATGCACCTACAAGCATGTCAAAATACCCCCTAAAAGTGGGAAAATTGGCCATGAGTCTTCCTTTTTAGGGTGACTTCTTTCTTTGTGTTTTTGTTCTCACATTGTGCTGTAATTCCTCCTGCCCCACACCCTGCAGGTGACCATGGACTTTCTGTCACTGATTTATCAGCTGTTTCTTGCATTACCCAAATGAAATCACATGGATTATATATATATATTTATATAAAAGTACAAAATATTATAATTGCCTGCCCTAATTAAAATATTTAATTCATTTAGGAATGTAACAACTCTAACACCACAGTAAGAGCTGGCACCACCAGACCATGCAAACCACTGCATACAGGGCTGCTTAGTCCAGGAAAGCTCAGTCCACTGAGTAAGGGCTTAACCTGGCTAATATTAACTTGACATATTTAAAATCACTACTGCACCCTATATAAAGGGAGGAAATCACATCCTGTCCTGCCAGAACACTGCTGGGTTTAAACATCCACAGAAATGTGTTCAGAAAATATAAAAACACCAGGAGTACACAAACCCTCCAAGAGGCATTCCGGGATACAGTCTTCCCTTAAAATTTAAGGCACAGACTCCTAAGGGAAAATGCCAGGAAAACAACTGGTGTTTGCTCTAATGCAAGCATCAAAAATGAACTAAAAACCTGAAAATCTCAGCAGACCATTCACGCTACCCTATTTCTCCCCCTGCTTTTGCATCACTACAAGAGCACTGAAAAATCCAGCCAGGTACCTTTCTCCCCGAGAAAAAAAAACACCAAAAAAAAAAAAAAAAAAAAAAAAGGCAGAGAGAAAATTGAGAGAGATCGGGCTCACCTTGAAGTCCATTTCCATTTGCACTGGTGCAAGATGGTGGAGGAGAGGCTTGGGGCCTGACAACAGGAGCGAAGGCGCTCTTTTGTTTCACTGCAGAGATGACATTGGCAGGTGAGAATGAGAAAATGCCGTGTGTACTGCTACAGTTTGAAGGGAGGGTGACCGAAGAGGCTGCCATGGTAGGGCTTGACGGCACTACTGCAATAAAGCAAAAATAATCAGGACTCAGATTGAGGTTTTCACGGCAAACACGGAAAAAGAGAGTGATAGGGCCTTGCCTCTTAAAATATATATAGAGGTATATATATATATATATATATATAAAAAAAAATATATAAAAAAATAAAAATGAAATGCCTTGGCTTGGCCACTCTCTGGATAACAGGCAAACTCTTTTGTGTTGGACTTTTGTTACGAATTGCGCAGTCCAATTTTTATTTTGGTTTTTTTGTTTCGTTTTGTTTTGTTCATTTTTTTTTTTTTTCTCTGTCTGAGATTGTATTCTGGCACAAACAGATCAATTTATTATTTTCATTTTTACGTCCAGCCTCCAGAGTCACCCCTCCTTTTATCCAGTAGCTGACAATAGAGGAAATCAAAACAATGCAAGGAGTTGATTTTGTAGTAAATATGAATCTATATGATGATGTGTTACCAAAAATAGACACTTACTGCCATAAGGAGAGTTAGCTGAGGAGCCATTAAGAAATCCAGGGGAACCTGGTACACCTAGATTGGGCATGCCGGCATTGCCATATCCATTCATGCTATTGCTGACTGTGTTGTAATTGGACTGCTGAGGAGTACTGCTGGGAACATATCCTCGCGGGGAAACACTGCTTGTGTTGCGACTGTAACCTACTGTGTTAGAAACCCCCCCACCCCAAAAAAATAATGTTATTTTATAAGATAGACTTAGGGCTGGGGGGTTTCCTCATGCAGCATATATTACACAGTTTTAATTGATTGCACAGCTTTGCTCTGAGTTGTCTCTCACTGCCCTATCAACTCTTGCAGCTTGAGATAACCTTATCACGCCAACCCTACTTAAATCATCCGCGAGCACTCTATGTTGTCTCTCCTCTTAGCACAGACAGCCAACAAAAGCTCTCTTCGATCCAGCTGTGTCAGGTGCCTTCACGTTTGTCTTTAGGAGCAATTATCAACAGGCTCGAGTCCCGCTTTGTACCAACACACTGCGTGAACTTTCAGCCTCTCCGCACCTTCAAATGCCAGAGCTGACAAGAAAAACTTTTTTGTTGCGGTGATTTACTTTAAAAGGCTGTTTTGGGGTCTTCATTTTGTGATTGATATTTTTTATGCTAACAACAAGCTTTCGTAAGGTGTAGCCATCAGTGAAAACTAATTCAAGAGCAAGTACAGAATTTTATAAGGCTTATTAGCTTGGAAACGCATTAAAAGACAATCTTTTTAGAAGAGGAAACATAGCGGAATCAGGATTTTAAACAACAATTTGTTCCTATCTGAGCAATCAATTTAATAATTATGTTGCAAGCAAAAAAAAAATGCGTTTGAACATATCTAATAATCCTGTTTCCCTCCTTTCATTAGTATCAAAATTAATTTTAAATGCAATATGCTACATGCATTTTCAATTACAACAGGTAAATTAAATCAACTATTACTTTTATTAGTAACATATATGTCACACATGCCTACAAACAAAGTATTTTAAAATCACAGACATCAAATTAGATTTATCTGTGTAAATATTCCAAAACCAGGTGGAGGCACCAAGACATAATTATTTTATAAACCAACCATACACTCTTTATATTTACTGCGAATAACAAAGAGCTTTCTACACTTTGCCAAATTTTTTTCCCCCCACTGGAGATGCTTTATGATAACAGTAAATGAAAGAACAGGGAGAATTAAATATCACGAGAAAAAGTTAAAGACAGCATTTCATTCCACGCTCAGACACACGGCTAGGGGGACAGAGAGAGGGAGGACACGGCAGTGACATCAGCTCGCATGAACAGGCCAAAAGCAGCCAGCAAGGTGAAGGATTAACCCTTGAAATCCCACCTACCTTGGTCGTTGGCTTGCGATGTTTCGGAGACATTGACGGCGAGCTGGCTGCTGAAGGAGTTGACGCCCATCATGCCGGTGTGGGCGGGAGTGTTGGCTAGAGTGGGGATCTGGTTGTGGTTGCGGGGCACGCTGTACAACGCCTCAGCAATGTCAGCTGCTCGTTTCAGGATTATTTCCTAGAGAGACACGAAACAAGCACCGACAACTCAGATTTGTGCAAATGCTCCAAATCGCAATAGCGCAAAAATTTACCGAAGAGATTCGCGTGGAATTATAGTGAGGGTGGGGGGTTTGCTGCTTGTTCCAACAACACCTCCTGTTTTTCCTTCCCATGCCCAATTGCTCCTCAACACAGTAAACATAAAGAAAGGAAGAAATTAACATAAAACTCCAGTTTAGCTCTGGAAGCCAGGTGAAAATCGTCGCATGGGTTTTATGCGCCCAAGGCAGGAGTTGTATTTTCAGCAGTTTGCAAAATACAGTACAGCTGATCCACTTGGCTGAGCAGATTTCTTTAGGACTTCCCATTAGTCACTGTATATTTTGGCCCCAGTTCAAGGTTATTCTCCTGCCTTAATGCTTGCTTATGCTTTTGGCACCTTGCACATAATTGTCATTTCTGATAGGCAAACGAGCAGCGAGAGGAGAAGGGGAAGATGAAGCACTTCCCTTGGAGCATTGCATCACATCACACTGCCCTCAAGGTGGCTGGCAAAGCCTGGCTGTGTACAAAGGCAACGTGCTGATGCTCTGCCAGCCCTGCACAGAGCAGGTATTGATCTACACGTGTCGGAGTGGGAACAAAGAGCGCGCTGCTGACCTACCTGGTTGTTATGGGGCATCCCATATAGGGCTTCAACAAGGTCTGCTGCTCTCTTAAGTAATACTTCCTAAAGGAAAACAAACAACCTGCGTTATGTTTCACCAAGACAAGGGCAGTGCAGCAATGTTGGCAGTTGTAGCGTCTCTAATTGGAAGGAACTGATAAAGTGGATAAAATACGTCACAGGCAGCCCATGTGCTCTGCTATATTTAGGGGATGTATTACAAAGATAG